ACTTGATTTATTTTTAGTGGGGCCCTTTTATTTGTCGTCATTTAGATCGGACGATGTTTGTTGACGGGCTCCCCACCTTAGTGGCCCATGGATCTGACTCCAAATTAGATCGTATGAATGTTTGTTATCGCCTATTCTCGTATACCATCATCGACTTAAATCACGTTGGTCAATAACGGGATTAAATAAGTCAAATAACGAGAGTGGACTTTTGAACACATATATTTTGTATATGAAGCGAATGGAATAGAGAGAAGAGAAACGATGCACAGTGGAGATGGCGGGTAAGCCAACTCCCCTTTAACCAATATTTATAGTTACGCAAAAGTAAGCTACAGACATGTGATGAGTAATGAGATAATAAATGTAAACACGCGTACGCGCTCATATAAAAAGAGTCAAGATTGGTAAGCGAATAATTAACAAGGTCAAAATGTGACTCAAGTAGAATGAATAGATTGGACTGTCCGAAAGCTAGAATAAGGTATATGAGCTTAACACAATAGCCGACACTACACATTTTCAGTGATGTCATCAGAGAAAATCATTCTGGCACAATGAGTCAGGATTTTTATTAAGTTTCTTTTCTATATATGGTTGGCACAGCACTATCAATCAGACAGTAGAACTATGGAAACGATTATATTGTCCAATTATAGATTTTCTTCGTATCCCTCTTTTTAATGTTATATCTACTCTTGTCAGTTGGATATTTAGAAACTATATGCTATTATTCTCTTCTTCCTTGAGCGTAAAAGTGATAGATAGGTGGATGTCATTACATTTATTAAGTAAATTATTCTTTTTATGTTTATTTTCTAATACTATCAAAGTATCGTCTATGAAGCGACAGTAAGATTATTTTCAAGATTTTAAGTTCTATTCAGTTAGAAATAAAAACTTCTGATTGGGATCTATGAGATAATTAAGTGATATGAATTAAAAAAGAGGTTGCTGTATCGTGCAAATATTGATTCTGGTACCGTTTGAACAATATTTATTTAATAGTTGAATTCATGAGTTGATTTAAACTAGACCACCATTGAAAACCTGGAAGTACCGGACGACTGTTTCGTCCTAGTATGGGGCTCCTCAGCAGTGCGCATACACGACCCCGCAAGCCAGACTTTTATTTGTTCATTTTAGACTTATTATAAATTAAATGTGAGTAAATTGAAGCATAAAACTCAGGAAAAATTAATATGTATTTATTAGTGGGTCACGTGTTACGTATGCCTGGACACCGATTGCCACGGCGTTGGAGACGGTTGGAAGAAAGTTAGGGGCAGCCAAAGCAAAACGTGCAATCAGTCTATAAAGTTACTAACTTCTGGTCTGAGCCATGTTGGTAGATGCAGACTAATTAGTTGGGGTCTGCGTGACTATCGTAACCAATGGTTGGAAACTGCGTGACATGGCTCAGAATCAATCAAAATGGCGTAGGTATATACACTCTGTCTTCCCTTAAATCGTGAGATGAAAATTACTTTATGCATTTCTTTCTACGAACTAATTCTTTCTTCCTGTATTATATCCTTATATGCTATTTTTCTTTTATATATTACTACCATTGAAGTAACTACTCCTATGAATTCGGTGTTCATCTTGTTGTGCTAATGAGGTGTGGCAACTTGGACCGATGTATATATGTGCCTGGTTCTACGCTGTAGCTGATTGACTGAGTTCTATAACAAGATAAATAGGAATAAAAATTGAATTTCTGGAACTGTCCTACCTGAATTTATCGTTTACGTTTTTGTCATATTACTACTAAATACCTAAATTATCGTGTTTTTATTTTCTCCTACTTGTAAGCTTTACGGTGATGCAGAAACCGTAGGTTTTGCATCTTTCTTAAATTAATGTTACCTTATTACGGACCTATTGCTTAGCCTCTTCCACTAATGGCATAGTTATGCAAGTATTAAAATTTTTATTACTGTTGATGTGTGCTCCCCTGCTTCTGTTTGGGCACCCAGGCAGTATTACAGCCCTCACACGTATCAAATGAGATCTGTGTGGCGCATATCTATTTGGTGCCTCCTTGTACCAATATCTATATGTGCTCTAGAGTTTCTTTATTTTATTGTGAGTTGCAAAATGAAGTGAACTGTGTAATTAGAAGTTTCTACCTACTGTGTTGTGTTCTATCCTGAGTACTGTATCAGCGTGTGTGGGAGAACTGCATTCTGAACGGACAGTCGCTAAGTTTTATTTTCTAATGTTATTTCACTATCATAGTGTCATTGGTAAGTCTAAGGTCACTGGTACCAGATAAATATAGTCTAGACGAATAATTAACTAACACATTGACTAGATCAATACAATTGAACACATGTAATTAAGGCGTGATCTCACATGCCCCAAAATCAAATCAAGAAATTTGCTTCTTTTCAGTCGGGTCGATTACATAGTCGGTTTTTTCTGTTTTGATAATAGCCTTAGTATTTGAAATGTCTACTAGTGTGTCGTTCCCAGAATTTTAAGTCATTCTTTGGATCATTTAATGGGTGAGTACTACTACATATTGGGTAGCAATATTTACTAAAGATTTTGTTTTAAGCCATAAATCGCACTATATTTGCGTTTTTCATACAATATGTCGGGATGTGCCACACCGGACATCTATAAAACAAGCGATTGTGGCAAACTGCAGGAACATGATGTGAAATGTTTGACGAATATGATATCCGGTACTGATGATCATTGAAACCTAGTACGTATTAGATCTTCAGGTCCCGGCCTCGATCACTGGCAAGTATACAGGAGGGTATTGCTGAAAACCTGGAAGCACTGGACGGCCGTTTAATAGTATGGGACTCCTCAGCAGTGCGCACCCACGATCCCGCTAGCGGAATTCGAAACCAGGGTTTCTAGTGAGAAGCCGTGACCAGTGGAGATAATCCGCGTCGGATAGAGTCAGGTATCTACCTCAGTACAATGGAAGATGGTCGCGCGATTTCGTGGATTAGTTGAAGTTAGACACTATCACCATTGGTCTAGTAGGTTAAGTGTTCGCGCGCGAGACTGAAGGCCTTAGGTTCGAATCCCGCTCGCTGGATCGTGGATGCGCGCTGCTGAGTAGTCCCACAGTAAAACGGAACGGCCGTCCAGTGCTTCCAGGTTTCCAATGGTGGTCTATCATCATTCAGTTCATAATCTCAATAAAAAAAATGAAATATTTCCTTGCAAAAAATAGATAAACATTAATGAAACAATTTATTTGAAAAATCCACGAACATCTGTGTTTGGTTTGTTTGTAATGTACATACCATGGATTTTATTACCAAAAAAGGAAAGCAAAAAGAATGTAGGAAATTCTAGAAAGATATCACACTGTAATGATTCAGCGAATGGAAAGAAAATAAAAATTACCGAAAAATTCCTACTGGAGACAAAGATGATGTGTGTAGTATCAAACAAAGCAGAAAAACAACACACAACTGAGATCTAAATCTCTTATCACCGTCAATATTTTATGTGTTTTAATCTGGAAGATTACTCACCTGTAAAATAGCCAAGCAAGTATAACTTAATGAGTGGCCGTATAAACACACAATTAACTCATGCTTCAAATGAGAAACTTAGTCATATGTTGTTAAGATCTAGGTGAGCTCACCTCGCCTTCCCAATACACTCTAGAATACCTTAGCAACCTATAATGTTTAGCCAAGAGAAAATTTCACGTAAATTTATGCAGTATGCCAAATGATTCATACTTGCATTGTTTTTAGGCCTAGGATAAAAACGGAAATAACCACACCCTAATCTTATAACACGAAAAAAATACCACAATGTATGCCATAGATGATTGTAAGTTAACATGATTATAAGCCTAAGTTGAGGCTATGGATTGAAAAATAAGAGGGTAACACCCAAAATCCAGACACTATCGTGTACACATGCTTGCGTATGTATGTATTGACAAGATTCGATTGTGTTAGTGTAAATGAATGGCACAATGGGATAATAATATCATTTATAAAGTTTGTAACATAAGGGCTCGAATTACGCCACCATGATATATGCTACTGAAATTTGATCCATCTTAGTCTCTATGTTTGGGTCAAATCTGGGTTGCCTCAGTATGGCAAATGGATTGTGGCTAGCAATGGAATAAAGGACGTGAGTTTCGTCTAATTTTTGAATCTATTAACCGAATATAATTACATCCAAGTTTCGATGTCCATGTCGGTCTCAAACTCAGCACATTTTGCTTCAAACACCAAAGCGTTATCTACTGAGTGCAGATAGCCACCAACTCGTTCAAAGCGTATGATATGTATATTGTTATTAGTAAGTATTTGAGCCATCCCATTGTTAACATTCAAGACTGAAACTGAAACTATCCCAATAAGACGAAACGAGTATTTTGAATCCCACTGTTGGCTACAATCCACCAACCATATATACATAATGCTGGTTAGCTATAAAGATTATTGCAATTTTTGCGACAGCTTTGGTTATAAACTGACTTCAGATCCAATGATTCCTCGTGCTGAAGTTAGTTCGTGATGAAAATTACCCGGGATCACATAACAGATTATTGTACAAATTTCAAATCCACAATATCTCCTTATAAAAACTATTAGGAAAATACAGCTTTCCGCGTGGACAGTGTTGATTATAAGTGGTATAGTGTTTAAAAAGGTTATATGGATTGTACAACTACTAGAATAGAATATAATCAACAAATCCGAATGACAACTACTTACTATTCCAGTTTATTAACGTAAAGTTACCTAATGATCGAAGGTCTAGAGACATAATAATCGGTCAGATATCACAAACAGGAAAAATGATGTAGTTCAACACAAAACATTTGACACAGAATGAACATGATTAAAATTTACTTAAAACATCATTGACTGTTAGATAATATGAGCTTTGTAGGTCATTCATGATACTCGTTACTAATAATAATCAATACAACTTAATTGAGACTTATAGATTACATCTTGAAGTAATTGCCAAACCATATGCTAAATAAATGTACTTACCAGAGTCAGGTATTTTACTGACCAGGACAATATTTGGTGGACGAATTGTAATGACTTCTTGTAGAACTTCCTAGAATAGGAAGAAAGATCATTAAATATGAGAAGTTAAACGTTTAAAGCAAAGACATTAGATTAACTCATTGAAAGCAGACAGTCAAGTTTGTTCAACAAAGTAACATTTGTAAGTGATCAAGTTAAAAGGTTTCAGTTGAGATTTATTGGATATTTTAGAAATAATTTCTCTGTGAATCGTAATTAGCTTTAAAACCATTCGGAAATGAGTAGCTATTTCAACCATATTTTGTAACTTATCAGTAATATCAGAAGGGACATTTGTGGACATTATAATAGTTTTAATAGTTGAATTCATGAGTCAAAAACCCCTTCTGATACTAATCAGCGTATGGTCACTAGTGACGGTCTCCAAGAGGTATTTCATAGAGTTCTAGTGAGAAGTAGTGACCAGTGGAGTTCAGCTGGGTCCATTGTGAAATAGTAACTCACTGAAGACAATGCTAGATGTGTCACTCAATTCCGTGGATTATTTGAAGTTAGACACCAACACCGTTGGATGCCGGCTGACTGGTCTAGTGGTTAAGTGTTCGCGCGCGTAACCGATAGGTCCTGGGTTCAAATATCGCGAGGCAGGGTCGTGGATGCGCACAACTGAGGAGTCCCACAATAGGGCGAAACGGTCGTCCAGTGTTTCCAGGTTTTCAATGGTGGTCTAGTTTAAATCGACTCATGATCAATAGCACATACAAACAAGACCACCCACGGAGTTGCGTAAATTTCAGCAGAGGCTTATAATAAAATCGGAAAAAATCATAGTACTTTTTCGTTGTTAGTGGATTTTCGAGTTTACACTGACTTGTATTGGAAATAATCGTTAACTTATAAAACATAGAAAACCAATGGAAACCAAGAAGCAATTTTACCTAGATTTATGAAATGACCTGATTATCACATCTTAGTTTTTCGAAAGTTATCTAGTCTAGATATAATCATAGTCATTTAATTTAATAATAAACTTTTAATTCGATAAACAGATGAATTACTCTTATTTATCAAAGAAGGAAATAAAACCCCGTTATTGATAAATAAATCACACAAAAGTGACATCAGAAGGAAAAATTCCCAAAATCTGAATAAAACAAGATATTTGCTTGAGATCATGAATCGATTGATGCTAGACCACCTTTGGGAACCTGGAAGCACTGGACGGCCGTTTCGTTCTATTGTCGGACTCCTCAGCAGTGCGCATCCACAACACCACTCACGGGATTCGAACCCAGGGCTTTCAGTCTCGCGCGCGAACGCTTAACCTACTAGACCACTGAGCCGGCATCCAATAGTGATAGTGTCTAACATCAGCCAATCCACGAAACTGAGTGACACACGATTCAATGCTGAAGCAATCGCATGTACCGTGGAAACCGGCTTGTTCAATGTTCTGTTTGTTTCGAACTCATCCAGTTTAGGATACTGACAAGTACAAATGATGTAATTTTTCATAGAAAGACAATAAAAAAATAGAATAAATAAATAATATATAATATAATATTCTTGTTGTTCCGTTGTAGTATTTAAACTTGAATTAATTTTGATTTGGTTATTTATTCTCTGAAGAAGTGGCTTACACTAAGCCACGAAACGTCGGAAAATTTATTTACTCTACTCGTTGGGATATTACAAATATATTATTTTCATCTATAACAATCTACCCAATGCTCAATTTATTCAAAATTATCAAGTCAAACCTTAGTAATTAAACCTACAAAAATAGAATGTTCAAACAGAATTTTTATTGGTTAATTACTGAAGAGTTTTACAAGTCAAATAAACAACTGACAAATAACCGATAGGTCGTAGTTACTAAAAATAATAAATGAAAATCATCTTCAAATCAATGTACCGTTCCTTAATATGATAGAAGTTAGTCATTAATAAATATACAAGGCTAGTGTACTACTTATTATCTATTATAAGTAGGTCAAAATAAATTAACTCAAACTAGAAATATTCGTTAGCATAGCTAATCATAAATGTCACGATTCACGATATTTATTATAAATGGCTATTGGTAATAAGTTAACCAACAACACTCATAGGGAACGGTTTAATAAAGACCTTGAAATTACTTGCAAAATAATTGATTTTTGTTTTGTTATACATTAATTTCGTATGGAGTTTCAAAATGCATAGTGTATTGATAAGTAAGCTTCAGTACACATACAAACATCAAGATGAATGAAACTTCTTCTTTGTTCATTTATGTGTTCTTTTAATAATAGGTTAGTAAATAATTATTTATTTTATTGTAAAAAAAAAGTGGCAAATCAATATTTCTGTTAAGTAGATAACTTTAAGGTCAATAGTGTTTGTAATTCACCAATTAAAAGTAGGAAAACTGAGAAACAATGTCAATTGTTCAACAGTTCAAGTTGTTGACGAGTAGCAGAAGAAGATTTGAAAAAAAAGAAGACATTTGAGGGCAAATCTTTTTGATTTTTTAATGATTCTCTAGTTGGTAGCAACTTGTAATGATTGAGTTTTTGTTTGTTCGTGATATCAAGATGAATTACAGTAGGGACTAGCTGACATATCTATAATGTAACCTATGAAACTACCTAGTCATGTAGTATATATTAATCTTTTAAACGATACTTTTTCACATCTCGTGAGGAATATATTCGGATTTTGTTTCAAATATCTTGAGTTGAAATGTTATTAATTAAATTGAAAGATCCTAGAATGTGAAACTATTTCAATGACTATTGCATTGTTTTAACAAGAAAGATAGTAAACCCTTATAAAATAGAAGTCTCATATGAGAATTTCAAAGCTTCTTTCAAAACAAGTTGTTATCGAGTGAACAACTGTTGTAAATCAGATAGTATGTATCATGTAATTTATTAAATAACACAATATGATCATTAATTTGCGGGAGAGAACAAACCAGCTTCCAAATTAAAAGGAAATTAAGAAAATACGTTGAAGTTTCATAGGAAATACATTACGGAAATCATCAAACTGCATCACAAGGCAAGCGGTAACTTGGATTCCTGAAGGGAAATGGGAAATAGGAAGACCAAGAAACACAATGCGTCGGGAGTTTGAAGCAGACATCGAAAGAATGAAGAGCAACTGGAAAGGATAACCCAGGACAGAGTTCGATGGAGGATCCTGGTGGAAGGTCTATGCTCCTCCACGAGGGGTAACAGGCGTAAGTAAGATGACTATTAGTCACTGGGGAACCATAATGAATACTAACACTTGTATCTTTGTCTTGTATTAGGTGTATAGTATACTTTTACATTGATCACTTGATTAAAAATAAGAATAGAAAAAGTGTAAAACATGGTTTGTTAGAAACTTTTGGTACTGATCTACATTACTATACAACCATACCAACTTAAATTAATGAAATGAATAAGTCCTGAGCTTTAGGCTACACGTTTTGTGAGAATGTAAGTATGATTGTCTAACTAATAAAAATGAAACAAATAGAAGTTAGACATTAACACCGTTGGATGCCAGCCCAGTGGTCTAATGGTTAGGTGCTCGCGCGCGAAACCAGTAGGTTCTGGGTTCGAATCCCGCGGAGTGAGGGGTCGTGGATGCGCGCTGCTGAGGAGTCCCATACTAGGACGAAACAGCCGTCCAGTGCTTCCAGGTTTTCCATGGTGGTCTAGCTTCAATTGACTCATGATTTCAACCTGTGACAAAGAGAAGTATTCATACACACAACTCATGTAGCCATTGGTGTAAATGACCACATAGAGACTATCAAAACATTTAAAAGAGATTTCGCTGTACTAGAGGGAGATCGATTTCATCAATGATTTACTCAGCATTGTATATATTAATGAAGAATCACTCAAACTGCCATAATTTCAGCCAATAATTTGTTCGAAATGCTGATGTACAGAAATGAAGTAGGTATTTGAAAGAACTGAAGTCTGAGGTTTAAAATTAAAATATTCAGACCTAAGTGAGTGGCCTATTTGACATTATGAGAATAAGACCACCGTAACAACTACAAATGTAAATATTTACATAATTTATGTCAGTTTAATCTCTTGTCATTCGTAAATATATTTACATATATGGAATTCAGATTAAAATATTATGAACATGATTGGCTAAAAATCACGAAAGGTCAAATTTATAAAGGTCATGGCATATCAAGAGTCAGTCTATTGGTGTTTTTATGGGAAGTCAAACTAGGGTACCAATGTCACTTATTTTCTGCGAAATTGTCCATCTTCCCAATCGAAGAAAATTGCCTTTGTCTTGAAAAAAAAACTAAATATAAGAATTTAGATATTAGTATTTATTTTCTATGCTTCTTTTGTTATTTCATTAAAAAAAACTATGTACATTTGGATTCCATTGGAGTCCACTGCAAGCCACTATTCATCTTTGCTTATAATGCTTATGAATTAAGGCAATACGTACAGTATGCACATATGCCAATAAGAAACTGATCAATTGCAGTCCTAACACATCAATGGAAAGATTCAAGCAAACAATATGTAGGGAATTTAATTGTATTCTTTGTTCGGAAAAGTATGATTCACTCATAGTGAAAACAATAGAAAACTTAAGAAAAAATAAAAGCAAAAAAGATGTCCAAGAATAAATTGGATAACACCTGAAACAATGAACAAACGAATGATAGATTTAAAGTTATTTTGCGTGTATTTGACAATAAAACAAGCAGAGTTTAACGCAAAAAATAACAAAGACTAGACATTTGAAAATCAGTCTTTTAATATTAATACTTTGAATAGCTTTTTGGTATAAACAACATCAAAAGTAAAGGTGTGTGGTTGTGCACAAATATAGGCATAAAACATGTACATATGTAATTCTATATTGCACTGTTTGTAGGAAGATGTGCACTGTTATTTAGCACAATGTTTATAGCACAACGTGTGAATAACACCGTTGAACGATGGAATATAAAAAATTATCTTAATATGAGTGTTTACGACAATTCGAAATGCATGATACATTTATGTCAATGTATGACTCCATGATTATTCTTGTGTATTATTAAGTCAC